CTGCCCTGGGGTACTACTACAGACCCAATAGCTAGAGAGAGAATCGGTCAAAACAGATGGAACCCAATCCCAGCAAGAGTTGTTGAAGGAAAAGCCTCTTAACTTGAGTATAAAAAGGACATTAAACTGATGCCTCCCCTGCCAATACTTCTAGAGAACAGACCAGCTCAGGTGGTAGACCAGGATTAGTAGATCAGACTGCAAAGCAAAGTGTCTTAAATACGTCCCTGCCTAGATCAAAGACACACAGTGGTGGGGACCACGAAAAGCAGGGTAAGAGACTTGGGACCCACCTTAGGCTGGGATAGGAGAAAGATGGGCTGATAAGGCAGGATTGGTTGATTACAGATCTTCATTGCTAAAGCCTGACAGGTTTTTTAAGTTCTAATGAAAGTGTAGCTTTCCTGTTCTCCTTTCCATGTCTACTTTGAATACTAGCCAAACCCTAAGCATGCTTGCCCTGGCACTCTTTCCGTTATTTCTGGAGACCCTCCCCGGTCCCACCTTTCTAGGTGGGAGGAGCTGCTTGCAGATTCCTTTGCTGACCCTAACACAAAAGCCACAGAGACTCTCTCTCTTCCTCTTCTCCTTCTCTATCTCCCCGTCACGGCCAGGATTTACAGTGTTCCTTTCCTCTTGTTTTTGCCTCAAACGCTAACAAAATGGTCTTCAAACTTCCTTCTGAATCTGTTTTTAAAACCACATCCATTAGTTTGTGTGTGTGTGTGTGTGTGTGTGTGTGTGTGTGTGTGTGTGTGTGTGTGTGTAGGTCAAAAGGCAACTTGCAGGAGCCAGTTCTCTCCTATTATGTGGGTCCTGGGGGATCAAACTCAGGTTATCAGCCTACGTGGCAGGTGCTTTTCCCCCATTGAGCCTCTCGCTAACCAACGAAATTTCTTTTCAAGTTCTTTGTCAATAAAGCTAAGAACTCCTAAGAGAGAACCTTGATTCTCCATAACGTATTCAGTAACTACAAAGGAGGCTCAAACGTGCTCCGTGGAGGACAGCACAGTTGCCCATCTGCCCCTCGGGGCAGCTTCTCCGGTTCCTCAGGCCCTGAGTGGTTTCTCCTCAGCTGTGGTTCTTCTGGGGGAATTTAGTTTCCAGGCTCCATCTTTCTGTCTTGCTCCTTACCGGTAAACCTCTGCTTCCCTGGGAGAAGGAGAAGGTTCGAACCTGCCCCTCCCAGGCTCTCTCCCTTGGAGACAGCAGCAGGACTTCCTCCACGTGTCTGTGGCTGATGACCATGGAGCAGGATGTAAACCACACTGTTTAATTCCTTTTCTTCTTTTCCTGGGTGCCACGAGTCCCCCTTCTTTCCCTCACTGCCACCCTCTCTTGAAGCCGAGGAGACCTCTGCATTTGAGGAAGAGAGCAAAGTGACTTAGAAAGAGGCTGGGCACTCAGGTCCGTGACCAAAATGGAGGCAGTGACACCACCTTGGACCGTGTGCAGGCATCCGTGTGCAGGATCCCAAGGGTCCCAGCCGGGTGATGCTCCATACAATTTTTTTTTTCAATTTGGTTTCTGGAGTGAGTAACTGACTGCTCCATCAGTGTAAAGGGAAGGTGCAGACCCTCTGGCGGCCCTGGTGTAGGGCCATGAGGCAAGGTCCCACCAGGGATGTGCTCTCCCTCCGGTTCCTCCACATGCTCCCAAAGCAGCAATGTCTTCCACGCTGAGTGTGTGTCCATCCTCGTTCCTCTCGTTTTTTTCCATGTGTTCTTGCCCCCACCTCAAGCAGCTTATCACACCAACGATCTAGGTAGGAGTCAAGGGGAGGTTAGATGGGATCCAGGTGACATCTTTGGGGGTTCCCAGTTACAGCCCTATTCACTCTCTCTTTGTTGTCGTGGTCAGTAAGACATGGACTCCCCTCCCTTGGATTGAGACCATGGAACTTCTTGCCGGCTCCTTTGGCTGCCTTACTCTGACACCTTGGTCTCACATACCTCGGGTCCTTTGTTCCATGTGTACTTCTGTCTCCTGCAAACCTGTTAACCTAACTCAGACGCCTTGTATAAAAGGGGGGGGGCACGACTAGCTGCCAGCTGGCAGCGGCTTCATCCCCCTGACGGAGAGCTCCAAGAGAGGAAGGGGAGGGGAGGGGACAGATGTCTTCTGAGGAGGGGCTTGGAGTAGAATCCTAACCAGCTGAATAAATCCAGGGGCTGAGGTGAGATGCAACCACCAGGTTCCTCAGTCCTGGTCCCAGGCTGGCTCTGGCTCTCCTGAAGCTTTTAGATTTTAAAAGGCACCACTCCCTGCTTCTCCTGGACCTCCTTTTGTTTCCCTCGCCTCTGCTGGGGTCTGTTGTGAATCTGCATCACAGAGTGTCACATTGTATATAGGTACTGACTGAAGCAGCCAGCAGCCTCCGACAGTGAATTAATGAAAGGAAAAGGAGAGATCGGATCTTCTAGGGACACAGGTTAAACGAGTTACAAGCTAACATGACTCTGTCCACATGAAACCTCTGAGAGGCGAAGGGGGAGGGGACTCCCCAGGGCCCCCAACCATCTCTCCCAGGACATGACCAAAAGCCATTATGCTTTTCACCGCCTACAAGCCCAAATGAAACATTGTCTCCCTCCCTTGTTTTAAAAAGTGGTTATTAAGTACTTACCAGACTAGGACTTACATCTCACCAACAAACTGGTTAAATTCAATTTATTGGTGGGAAAAGAATGTCTCTAAGAATGCCAACGTGCTTTGCGTGTTCTTCAGATGCAGCTGTGTTTTATCGAAATGTCATTCTTTTGTTATTTCCTCTGAGCAGGAGTGATTCGACTCCAGAGATTTGGATGTTCCAAATTTCCGGGCTGGGTTGGAGATACAAAACCTGAGGCCACTTTCAACCCCAAAGACAGGGTTCTAGGAATTCGCCCCTCTCTGTCTCTATCTCTGTCTCTCCTCCTTTCTCTGACAGGGTTTCATATTTCCCAGGTGGGTCTCAAACTCGCTGTTGGGAGGATGACTTTGAACTCCTGATCCTCCTACCTCCCCTCCTGAGTGCGGGAATTACAGATGCTTGCCACCATGCTCAGTTCATGCATGGTGCAGGGATTGAACCCAGGGCTTCACGCTTCTAGGAAACCACTCTACTGATTGTGCCACATCCCCAGCAAGGTAGGTTTTCCATGAAGGAAATAGAGTCATCTTGACACCAAGATCTTGGTTACCACTAGGGGGCAGCAAATGTGCATTTTCTGAGACAGGCAAGAAGATCCTTCCTGGTGTAAAAGCATCATCTAATGAGTGTGTGTGTGTGTGTGTGTGTGTGTGTGTGTGTGTGTGTGTGTGTGTGTGTGTGTGTGTGTGTACAATCTAACAAAAACAACCTCGATAAGAAAAATGAAGAGAAGTCTATGTAGCTAGAGTTTTCTGCCTTGCCCACAGTCAGGACAAATCTTTGTCACCCGCCAGTCCCACAGCCGATCAGACCCAACCAAGTAAACACAGTAAACACTGGTCATGGCGGCATCTGGCAGTCAGTCCTTCTGCCTTCCTGTCCTTTTATTTCTCCTCTCTGTTAGTCCTGCCTATCCTTCCTGCCTAGTTACAGCCGATCAGGTTTTATTTATTGATCAATCAGAACAACTTGACATACAGACCATCCCCCAGCACAGCCAAGTGCAGACCATCTCAGACACCTGCACTCAG